AATGGTGGCTATATTAGCAAATGGTTCTCCAAGACTGCTGGATTGTTCTCTGACTGGTGTGACAGATTCTGGGATAGGAAGAAGAAGGTTAGAGTTCTTTGTGGTCTCTGGGTTTGGTTGTTTTCTTGTAGATGTTTCATTACCCAACTAGGTAACATCATCAGTGCAGACTGATCTGTTACCTATTTGGATAACGAAACATCTGCAAACAAACAACCAAGCTCAGACAGCACCAAGAACTCCACAGTTCAACCCTGAGCTACAGATATTCTCTTCTAGAAGGTTAGTATGACGAGAATGATTGTTGCCCTAGGATGAGTATTGCTCTCTGGCTTGGCTTGGAATGATGAGAGGATGTTCTTGAAATAGTTTGGAAATATCTGGGGCTATGGAAAGAGACAAATGGCATCTCTCCTTTATCCTAAGGTTAAGCATCATATAAACTAGTAATCTGTGTGTGCCTGGGGGAGCAAGGGAAGCAGATTTAAGAATACCAAGACAAGAGTACTTCATTCTACTTTGAAGCTAGATCTGTACCAAATGTGGTCCTTGCCAGATGATTCCTTGCTGATCAGCTTCTGGGATAGATGAAGTACCAGAGGACAAACAAAGAAAAATATTAGTTAGGGACAGGAAGTAACTGAAATAATATTGAAAACTAGTGTGATGTATTTGGTAAGAAGTTGATCTAGAAGCTAGGAATCCTAGTTCTAACCTACCCTCAGCTGCAGAAGCTCCCTGGAGGACTCTGGGCCCGTCCCTCTTTCTCAGCTCAACAATCTCACAAGGTTGTTGTGGAGCAAAAATAGGAGGAGAGGGCACTATGTATGCCTCTTTGAGCTCCTAAAAGAAAGATGGGATCTGACCGGATGGATGGCTGGATGGATGAATACGTCCTACTGCCCTTTTCTAGGTCCTGACCTTTGGGTAGTTAATCCCCCAGAGTCCTTGCTTATGTTCCTTTGAGCCTGGAACTGTTTGACTAACCATTGTGCCTCTCTGGTTACTGACCCCCAAACTGGCTTTTCTTTCAGCACCTGCATTTATCCATCCGGTCTGAAGTGCTACTTGGCAGTTTGACTTGGTGGCTGTTACTGGACTTTGCTTATAGTGCAGATAAGATCAAATGGCATGTGCCAATGACAATACACAACAAAAATGCTTACAAGGCTATGTACTCAGCATTGCAGTTTTCTAGATGGTCAGCTAAGTTGAAATGGTTTTGGTCAAGTCAACTTTGTGTTTGCCTTTGGATTTGTAGGCTGGACATAAATTATGGGGAGGGGTGTCCCATTTTTAAACTCCTCATGTTTATTTAATGTTGTGAAGATTCTCTGGTTACAGCAGAATCCAGAACTTTACTGAATTCAACATATCCAATCCAGCTCTGATCTTTACCAGAAAAGACATCTTGAGCCATGAAATCCCTACAGACCATCTGCCTTCTTTTCATTTTTATAGCTAGAGGTAAGGAGATGATACTGCAGAATGTTCTGGGGCAAATGGGTTCCAAGTCTTCTATTGCCTTATCTTTTACCCTTGGGTCAGCCTTGCTTTCGGTGTTCTTAACTTCTCCAAGTTCAACAGTAGACATCAAGCCATTTGCTTGGATGCAAGCAGAAATTCATGCAATCATCTGGAACTCGGGATGCCAACCGTGTGCAGCCTTCTACCTGCACTCAAGAAAACCTCAATTCTCTATAGCTCCTGCCACTCAGTGTTGAAAAGTTGGAAACCTTGAGGAGCAGGAGTTTTGTGTAAGAACCCATCCTTCCTACTCATGTTATCACATCCAGTTCAGGCTTAGTACCTGAGTAAGTTTTACCTTTCAAGACTTTGTTGCAGCTTGTTGACTGATAACTATCCCCTGACATTTTCCATTTACTTGAATTGTACTAGACACAATTAGCTTGGAGGTTAGGCGTATGATTTAGCTATGTCAGTTGATTGGAAAAGGATAAAGGTAGAAGAATATTGCTTGGGGCTGTGTCCAGATCCTCTGGGTAGGTTTGCTATAGTTAGCTGTTTCCACCGATTACTCTTCCACTTCTGAGCCCAGTGTAACTGGTACCATCGTCTTGTAAAGCCCTAGAAAGAGCTGAGGAACATTATAGCCTATTTGATGCCATCGCTTCATTGGCCTTATTCACGTACATCTGAATGAGGACAAGTGATGTCATGCCCATTGTGTCATCATGCTAATGATGCAAATTGTGTACTCTAACTCATTGATGTCATGACTTCATGATTGGACCGCTGAAGTGATCTCATGATGTGTGTGGTGTCATTACGGCTTCTACCAGACCTAAAGTCTCTTTTGTCCTCTCTAGGTGGCCACCATTCTATGTAATGGTATGTGGGAAAGACCTTGGGAGACTGGGCCAAGAGATGCCACCAAGGAGACAGTCAGATAAGAGATAGCATAGCCTGCAGCTGGACAGTGGATGGGGCAAGAGGCTCAGAAGAGACCTCCCTAGTTTCTCGGGCTGTAAAGGAGACGGGGAGAATTGTACTTTCAGACTTGCAAGATTCTGTTAACGCAGCTTTGCAATAATGTAGAATTGGCTCATCTGGTCAAATTTCCTGTCTAGTCCACCTAGTAAGGCTGACATTCTATACGGTTCTTTTCTTTCCTACCATCACCACCTGCAAATGCATAACCGAAACTGTGACCTTCTGAATGGAAACCAAACACCCTACTTCTGGACTAAGCCTGTCCCTAAACAACCCAGGACTTCTCCCCATATCAACCCTCCTGAAATGACCAACCCGTCTCCCTGCTCTTTAAAGCATTGCTTGGTTTGCTGACTGGTTTTTATTTCTCTCCACTGAATGCAGCTCTTCAGTAATTTGATTCAGCACAAACAATTGATCAGCCCTGACATTTCAAAATAATGAAAAACCCTGGGGAAGAAATAAGATAATAGAATTAATCAGGCACATTCTTTACTTTTTTCTGCTTTTTAGGAACCTCTCACAAATGTAGAGTTTGTCATGACTTTGGAGATGACTGTGAGGGTTATCCGGAGGAATGTCCCTCTCCAGAAGACAAATGTGGCACAGTTCTGATAGACATCTCAGTAGGTAAAAACAAACTGGCTACTCCACTCTTTTCCTTCCAGTAAAATGCGGATCTTTTCTAAGTTCTTCTTTTCTGGCTAAATAATTTTCTCAAGCTGAGTTTGACCTGGTAACCATATGTACTTGTCTGTAGAGCTTTCTTGGCTACAACACAGGACAGTTTGGTCTAGCCTCCTTTTGTGGCTGTTTTCCATTCTAACCTAGAGCCCTGGGGTTCCCTGATGGCTGTTGTCCCCCAGTATTAGAAAAGCCATGTTGCCAAGGTTGACCGAGTTACTGCTCCCTGCTGGTGTCACTCCCAGCTCTTTCTGGCTTAAGCTAATCTTTTGCCAGGAGCATCTCCTGCCTTTACAAACCATCCCTCATTGTTTGGTAAGAAAGAAATTCTTTTGGAATTTTGCACAGAGAAGACTCTGAAGAAATTCTCATGGATAGTCTTCGACTTATGACTATTCATTTAATGACTGTTTGAAGTTGCAATGGTATTGAAAAAAGTGACTTACGACCAATCCTCGCACTTATGACCATTGCAGCGTCCTTGTGGTCATGTGATTGAAATTTGGGTGCTTGATAACTGGCATGTGTATCTATGGCAGTTGCAGCATCCCGGGGTTACGTGATCACCATTTGTGACCTTCCCAGGGGGCTTCCAGCAAGCAAAGTCAATGGGGAAGCTGGATTCGCTTAACAACCATGGCAAAAAGGGGCATAAAATTGGGCACCACTCACTTAACAGTAGAAGAAAATAGGTCTTGTCTGTATATAATGATAGGTGACTGCTGCAGAATGGCAAGAGGAGACAGAAACATCGCATGCATGAGGACATCACATGCATGCTTCTGATGTTTTGAAAATGCCCCGCCCTTTTATTGCTAAAATGGATAAAAGCCTGAGGGAGGGGCATTTTCAAAACTCTACAAGGCCTCCAAATTAACTTCCTCTTCCTTTTTTTTTTTCTCATCCACACAGGACCAGTTTCATTCAGAGGCATCCATAAGAATTGTTTCTCATCCAGCATCTGTAAACTTGGCCGTCTTGACATACATGTTTGGGATGGAATGTACGTGAGAGGAAAAACAAATTGCTGTGATAATGATCAGTGTGAAGACCAACCACTTCCTGGTAGGTTTGTTCAGGAGGTCTAAGAACATGATCTCTCAACTCCCTCCCTATTTCAGAGGGTAATATCGGTGGGTAACATGACATGATTCTTGACTTTCTCTGTACTTTGTCAGTATC